CGCGATCTTTAATTTCCCGTTCGTTTTCGTTTGCGTGCGCTTCGGAAGTTCACACTTGCCCGTGCATGTGTTGCGTTTGACCATCGCAGAAGAGGTGTACGAGTAGACTTATAATTTTATAGACTTTACATTTTGATCTCGACAATTTTGCAATAAATAATTAAACAATATAATATAAACTGCAATAGTCGAAGCGAGGAAGCATCCTCTTTAAACTGCCATTTGGTTCATTTCGATCAGACTTTTGGTTCCGGAGATATCGTCGTGTAAGCATACTTTTTTCAGTGGTGCTATTGTTGTCCTTTTCACACGAGCCTATCCTAATATCTATCGATCGGTCTAGACACGCAGCTGACACGCGTAACTAGGTCACTGTGTCAAACGTTGCCCTTAAACATTTGTATGCTCATATCTTCGGAACGAATCGTGATATCGGATATGAACCAAAAGGGATGTTTTCTCTCTACTCGTATACCCAGTCTGTGGAACTACGTTGCCCAGTTGGATATATTTTTTTTTTTATATATTTTGTACTGCGTGAATTTTAATAACGTTCGAGTGCGAAGGATGACAGCTTTGGGACCGACGTTTAAAGGTGCGTTGATAAATAAAACGGGAAGTGTCGAAGTTTCGATCGGTTTTCGTAGTAGTAGCATGGTATGTGATAGAGTATCTTTCAATATTTGTTGAAACAAAAATTCGAAATCGGATCCGAGGCGTACAGTTTAAAAAACGCAGAGGACAGGCCTTCTCTGAATAATTGGGGAGAGAGAAAAAATAATATCACAAGGCCTGTTCTCCCTCTGCCTCCCTTTGCCCCTTTTGTTCTACCGGTCTCGTAAGGAATCTCGAGGACCGTTCGCTGACTTGGGACTAAAGCGATCGGTACGAAAAGTATCTGGTAGTGAAGTTGTCGAGTGATGTTGACGCATGTTCCTGTTTAGCCGAGCCAGCCCAGGCCGTGAGAGAACGCCCGATTCGTTGCCGCACATCGGCCCACGGTTCCCACCTAAAGGAAGGTTCGTCACACCCAACCGCTACTCTCGATTCATTCTCTAACCATTCACGTTTTGCTTCTTAACATGTTCCTAACACGTTCCCGATTCTTCTACCTCGTCTCATCGCAGTTTTGCATTTGTCCCCTCACCCCCCCATTTCTTTCTGCAGTTTCTTTCCCGGTTTCGTTGCAGTTCAGTCGGTCATGGATGACTCTTTCATTTCTCCCTTTGAACTATTCTCACAACTCTGTTTCTACTCGTTTTATTGGTTGAATCTCACGATTATAAACGGTGGTCTTTGGTCAGCGTCGTGTTTCATCTTCACGAATCTTCCTCCGCTTCTCACGCCTCGTTTACACATTACTCGCAACCAAATGGAACGGAAGCGTTGATACCAGTTTCGTATCCTTGCTACAGCAAAGGCGCTGAGCCGGAGTTCCGTAGCCCAAGGGTGAAACTCCTTTGGGACCGATGGAGGCACGTTTGGATGTTGGCATGGGAACGACAACGTCGCCTGCAGGATAAGTATAACTACATCCAGGAATTAGACCGCGTCGCGAACTTCAGCTGGGAGGATTGGCGCAAGCGGGTAAATCAAAGACGCTGTTGCCCGTCTGTTTGCTCCTTTTATCAGACTCGCTATAGCCACCGTATTGTTTGCCGTAGTTCCTGAAGTTCATGAACCACAAGAAGTCCAGGCTGACAGATCTCTTCAGGAAAATGGATAAGAACAACGACGGCATGATTCCGCGCGAGGACTTCATTCAAGGGATCATGAACACCAGTGGGTTTCTTTTTATTAGGTTTATTAAATTTTTATGCTACAGCATGAGAGACGTGGCGAGGGTTTCTTCGCTTTTACAGAATTCGAAACCTCGCGGCTGGAGATGGGAGCAGTGGCGGATTTGTTCGACAGGCACGGCGAAGGGCTGATAGACTGGAAGGAGTTCATCGCTGCCCTCAGGCCGGACTGGGAAGAACGTAGAACCTACAACGACACGGACAAAATCCACGACGAGGTGAAACGACTGGTGATGCTCTGCACCTGTCGTCAGAAGTTCCGCGTGTTCCAAGTTGGCGAAGGAAAATACAGGGTACGTTCTCTAAAATGAATACATTTTTAATTATTTCATATCGTTTAAAATATCTCTGCTCCCTTTATTAATCTACGATTTTTTTTATCGCGTTCCAGTTCGGAGACAGTCAGAAATTGCGGTTGGTTCGTATTCTACGATCCACTGTGATGGTACGAGTCGGCGGTGGCTGGGTAGCCCTGGACGAATTTCTATTAAAGAATGATCCTTGCCGCGGTGAGTATTTCTGCCATTTATTATGCATTCTTTCAATTCTACTTCGTTACCGCCGAATTATACCGTCGGAATCGATGAGTTCGGGATTAGTCCAATCTTGAATTACTTTTTTTCTCACTATAACAACGAATCTATACAAACAAAACCTTGAGACCTTCCGATCTAATCCCTGTCTATCCCTGAATGCGACAGGAAACGATTAAAAACGATGTACCACATGTCCCCAGAGTCCCTGTCCCCGTCCAAAGAGGCAGCTAAACGCGTTTATGTTTGTTTTTACGATTAAACGCGTGTGGGATTTAATTAACCGGTTTCGATTTTCTTTTGGACTTTTACTAACGTTGTGCGCTTTTAACCCTGAGTTTTATTGTTTGCGTCGTTGGATCCTCTCGTACTAAAAAATCGAACTCGATCGCTTTCCGCTGCCTCGGGAATAAACGTTGGCTCGTGCTTTTTAACACGGGAGAGAAAACCCGACGGCGTTAAATAGAATACTTGTCCGTCCCTCTTGTATCGCGAAAGATGCGATGATAAATAATTAGAATTTGGGAAACGAATTTCATTCATCGAACTGTCTCATGAATCCTCATCGACTTATCCTGCGTGATATCATTCACACTTATCTTTATGTCTCATTTTTCTCCGCCTGTCTATCACTCATCTACTAAATATACGTGTACGATCTCAGCTCCTGAGGTACAACGTGTGAGCGTGACTGATCATTAACCGACTCTCTGAAACGGGCTGTTTTAATGTCATGCACATGAGCAATAAGTAGAAAGCGCTCGTTACATTCCCGTATCTCGCGTAATATAATACTACATGAATACACAATAGCTAGGTTCTCTCGTATCAGCTTGATCATCAAACCACGAACGAATCCTCGTTCCACGAATCTCGTTAAATTTTTATTACTTTTGATCCATCAACATTTGCAGTTAGCCGTTATGTTTTATTAATTTTTGCGAAAGTAAATTCGTGGAACTTGATTGTTCGACTGACTCATAGAATGTATTATCACAGTATGAGAAAGAACAGTAGGTTTAGCTTGTCAAAAAGTATATTAATAATTGACTCTTCTGCTTAAAGTCTCGGAAAACTAAAAATTTATTTTTCTCAAATTTTTTGGAAAATACTACAGAATATTTCAGAATACGTCCTCTACAAGAAAGATTTTATGTATTTTTCTTCTAACTTCGATATTTAACGAGCTAAGTATGATTATTTGGCATTTTATTGATGTTGACAAAATCCGACCATCCCAGCGTCGAAATGGCGAACTTTTGGAAAAAAATTTCGTTTTTCTTCAATAACTCCTAAACCGTTGGTCCTACAGGAAAATTGCATAGAACCTTTTTTGTAGGGGACGACGAGATCTACAATTTCTGTGCAAAAAGAATTCGCTAGTGTCAATGGTTAACGAGTTATAGACGAAAAACGAAAAAACAGTTTTTTGCAAATTACTCGTAAACTATTGAAGCTAGCGAAGAATTTTTATATGGAAATTGTAGATCTCATCATCCTCTACAAAAAAGATCTGATGCAATTTTCTCGTAGATCCTACGGTTTGGAAGTTATTGGCAAAAAACGAAAATTTCGAAGAAATTGAAGGGGTACCCCTTGGAAAAATCTCAAAAAATCGAAAAAATTCTTTTGGTCAAAAATTGGAGAAAGTTTTAAATAAAAGTTGTAGGCGATCGTATTTGCTGCAAAAAAAGGTCGTATATGGCAATTGCAGCTGCATATCAATAAGATTTGAGCCTGTTTAACCCACGATCTTAGAATGTATAAGAACGTAATTTTATCCTTCAAATTCGAGTCATAAGATCACAGGAACCGATATCGTGAGTGAGCTTCCTGTTTTCTCTTATACTGTGACACCATCTCGGTACTTTAGGAGACTCGTACCGCTTGTCATTAGTATTACTAACTTCAACCGAATCATCCTCTAAAAATCCTCTTCTCATTCCTGTCTGATCGATCATCTTCCATCGAACCATCTCATACCTTTTTTTTATTGCACACTTCGTCGATTCACCTCTCTGATTAATATTCGTGTATATTCTTTCAATTACGCATCGAGTTTATTGAATATTGCATGCGTTCGTCTATTTACCATTAAACAAATAAGAAAGAAATAACGGACCGACTAGACTCCTCAAATCGTGATTAACTCGTCAAGTTTTTCTAATGCCGATACCGGACCCTAACAAACCGGAACAACATGAGGGTTGGTGTCCGCTCGGTGAGAATCTTTTTATATGGGAATAATAGCAACTCGTGGCCCGTACGTAATTTAGCTCAAGTAAAAATTGAAGTGTTCGAGGTAAAATCATCAATGAAGATCGAAGAAATGCATCAAGGGTTGTTTGCGTCACAAATCTTTTAACTTCCGATCACTTTGTTCGCTGAATAAATAGACTCGTAGAACGTACGATGGAATCGTGCTGGCCATGAAATGAACGTTTTCGTATACATATATCCTGCATGATACGTATCTTGTACATGTGTACATACGTTTGCTTCCTCGCAACGAGTTTTCGAGTCTTGTTTCGTGTACTTTAGTTCGTTACCGGCGTCTGTTTGCCGTGCAGAGGCTGTCGTCGTCGTGTTGTACGTGTGCTGTGTGCGTCGTCCGTGTGCGAGTAAAGTAGCATGCAAGACGGGGTGTTTCACGACTTTGAGATTGCTCTAACGAAGAATCTTGAACCGTGTTCGCGTTTACCCGTACCGTGGAGAACCACCCGTTTTACCTATCTCAATCGTTTCTGCCCGCCCCCTCTCTTTCTCATTTATTTACACGGCGGAGTGACGAGAATTCATTTATGTATTGGACGTGGTGACCATTTTTCTTACACGATAGATAAGTATATCTCGTTATACATCACGTTCGTCGTGTCGTCCCTAAATCCTATCGGCGTCGTCGAAAGTCGAGGCTCGTCGCTCTTTAATTAGATCCCGAGATAAATATACGCGCGGGCTGCTTTGATGATTTTCTAGACGCTTTGGAATTAATTAGACGGCGTTGACTTTCGGCCTCGGCGAGATTCGCATGCCGTCCCACGTGTCACCGAAATTTTCTAACGGCGTAATTAACGGGGAACCGTGATCCGTGATCGGATGGTAAACTAGTATAAATTTACCGTTTGATCACAGAATTGTATTTATATTCTGTATCTCAGATCAAAGCGGTTGAGGTTGAAAAATCGTGACACATTTATCTCCCTCCCCCGTTTTTTTTTCATATTTTATTTAAACTACGGCAATGTTCTATAATACACTGTATTTTTTTTTTTTCTTTTTTGTTCCACTCTTACACTCGCACATGAACAAATCGCGTGCGCCGCTGCCATCGCCTCTCAACTATTACCGCTGTTACTATAACGCTATTATTATATTACCCTCGCTGTTACTGCTAATAAAAACTCATACATTCTCTCTCTCTATCTGCTCCTAATTCTATCTCTGCACAACAATCTGTACACTTTTTCTCTACCATAAAACTTTGCCAATCTCGGCTCTCTGATCTCTGTCAACGCTATTGATAACGCGCATGACTATACGATAACGCCGCTGTAAATCCTACCTGATCGCTTCACGTACTCTGTATATCTTTGATCGCTCTGATTTGTACAATGTTTCCTACTTTCGGCTGCCCGTTAATTATCCGCTCTGTCTCTCTTTCTCTCTTTTTCTCTGTGCTCTGTCTGTATAAAACGAAAAAAAAAACCCTAAATCAATAAATTTGGCGAACCCCCCTTTATTTTCGATATACCCTGCGATACATGTCCTGTAACGCCTTCCTTCTAACTTGCGTGCACGCGACACACTGTAGCCAAGGGAAGAACGAATATCGAGCTGCGAGAACAATTCATACTTGCGGACGGTGTCAGCCAGACAATGACGGCGTTCAGATCGAAGCCGAGCCCGACGTCCACGTTGCAGCGTACGCAGATCACATCCGCGAACGCCGGACCCATCACTAAGGTAACTTGCGTGCGTCTGTGTGTGCGTCATTTTCCAATTCCCTTGATGGATCGTTTCGGATCAGGATTCTCCAGTTCACGAACTGCTGAGACTCGATTCCATCAGTTCGGAGAACTTTCGAATTGTGATCTAGGGCCCACGAGGGAATTCCCAGGCTTCTATCGTGGAGGTAAGCGAGAACCCGGTGCATACTCGCTCGGGTAACTGAGATTTTTCCACGAGGAATTTCTTTATATATTACCACGAAGCTGATGCACCGGTGTTTCGATCTTATCTACATGAAGAAGCTCCGTACATTTCTTTCTATTCGAATCGCGAGCCCGAACTGCAAAATGGATCGTTCGTTCAGCCGCCTAAAAGCCGATCGATGGGGAATAACTGTAATCGGGAAGTTTCCTTGTTTCGATCGCACGCATCGTCAGATCAAATCCCCACCCCTCTGTTATTTCTCTTGGTCCCTACATTTAGCTTTGTATAGTCCTGTTCTTTTTCTGGTCTTTACCCCGACGTTTTAGCTCAGTCGAAAATGGATTCCGCTCTCATCTGGGGGTAAGTACCAGTCGCCTGATAGGGGTAATCAGGGGCTGTTTCACTCGAATCCCTCTGGATTTATTTTGTTTTTTATCTCCTCGCATGTGAGCATGCCGGCTTTACGGTAGCAAAAGTTGCACAGCTACCTCGGCCAAGCACCGCATTAGGTAGTCGCTTTCTTTCAATCATCCCTGTCTCCCATTTCACTCCCTCTCGGTTTTTCAGCCGTCGGAGGATCGAAGTCGCGTCGAAGATCGAGATCCCACGATTAGATCCATGCTCGACTTGAGATCTAGTTTCAACGATAAATTATGTCTCACCTCAGGAGATGTGATTCACGAGACTTCTCTTTTTTTATTTTCTATTTCTCTCTGTACCTGTCTACAGTCGAACTTGTATATCTTCAACGACCGGAAGTCTTGTCTACGTATCGAAGAGAGCCGCGGAGCTTTTGATTCTGCGACTGATTCTGATCCTGATTAATTCCGCGTTTCGATTTATTTATTATATTAATTAAGGAATAATTGCAAGAGCTCCGCGATTATCTTCGGTGTAGTATGAACAAGCGAAATGCAGTGATTTCGGCGAGAAACGAGCGGCGTGTTCCTAAATTTTTGGTTTATGGTGTAGCGGAGGAGTTTATGAACCAGCTGACGCCGATTTTTGAGAGTTTGAGGCAAAAGGAGGACCTCCCGTGCTCGTATCCCCTCCACATGCACGCCCCCTCTTATCATTGGGTAAATAAGAAAAACTGTGTCTACTCTTTTTAAGTTTCTTCTGGTGTGTGACCATTCAAACATGTATCTCGGTACGATCGATCAACAATTTTCTTTATTTTTATATTTTCTTTTTGAGTTCTTCATGTCTGTTGTTTTTCGTTTTATTTTTGCATTATCTGTTTTATTTTGAGTGATAGTGTTTTGTGTCCCGTCGAGTGCGCTTAACTCGTTCCCAGGGCGGGAACGGCATCGTCGTTCACGATCTCAACGCCTTTTATTCTACATTCTGGAAACGCTATGTCGTATCGATCTTGCGTCCCCAGATCTACGCCAATTCTCATTACCCGTTTTATTTTAATTTTGCGCTGCTGCTGTCGCCGCCGCCGCCGCCGCCGCCATCAGAGCATCCCGCAGTTTATTCGCGAAACGACTTATCGCATCGAAGCTTCGACGAGAATCATCTGTGCATGCGGTAGTAATGGTAGTTTAGTCCTCGGCGTTCATAAAACATTTCCACGGTCATTTAGGGCGCGTTCACGGTATTTAAATGAAAGGAGCAAAGCGCATGCCACTCGAGTCCCACTGAGGCGTGTGAAACGAATTTCGCGTTTTCAGTTTCGCAGTAACGGTGATCATTTTCGTTCTCTCTCGTTATTTGATTTCTCGATTGGATGCCTCTGAACGATTCTCCCATTCCCACGTAGAATTAATCGATCGAACTTTATCAATGAGTTCTGAGCCGTCGGTATCCTCTGTTTTTCGAAAGAGTCCTTGTACAGGTGTTGAATGATTTAACAAATGGAATCTAGAGGGTGTCGAATAGGCTTAGAAATGAATTTTGATCGCGACTCGCGGACGGGTGAAACAAATACTGTATCGAATATATGCATAACGACCTGTATTGCTGTATTGGTGCGTGCATAGTGGCGTTGATCGGAGATACCTCGAATCACCATAAGCTACTCTATCTGTCCCAACTTCCTCTGGTAAGTCGTGCATGGAGAATCTGATTTTCTTTTTTATTTTAGTTAGACCCACGAGTCTGTATCTTTACCTCGGTGGTATTTTTTTCTCTATTTTTTTTTTTTTCCGGCTACTCTTTTCCATCGACAGATCGATCGGTTTGCAATTCGCATCGGTGGCGTTGAAAGGTTGTAAACGAACGACCGAGCAGCACCGCGGAGAATCAATTTTTTACGCGCGTGAATCGCCGGGCGAAAGGAAAATCTCTATTCCAGATGAATCATGCATTTTTCTTTTGTCACCTCTCAAGATATGCCTTTTACCCCTGTTGTTCATTAAAATGTGTAAATCAACGAGGCTTCCTTCCGTCTCGCGACTCGACGCGCTTCTAACAATTTCAAATACGATTATTCGCTGTTTGCCTACCCGTTTGTTTGTCTATCTCTGTTTCTACCGCGTTACGCTCCTCATGGTAGAACGGTTTCTTCTATTACCCGTTTCCCCGCTTCCGTTTACCCGAGCTGAGCTTTCTGTCGCGCGTGTAGGTGAGGGAACGCAGCGCCCGAAGCGTTCCCATGGGACAATCGCGAGCGTCTCGCTCGTCTCTGAGCGCCGGCACGCCGGACAGCCTCAGCGACAACGAGAGTTCCTTCAAGTTGGGCTCCGCCAGGAAAACGAGCACGTCCTACAGGAGCAGTATGACCCCTGGTAAGGGAATTGAACAATTTTATTTGAATGAAATAAATGAAATTCTTCTTGGTCGTGTGACTGGCGAACGGAAATTTTGTTACAGGAGGTAGTCGACCATCGAGCAGGCCAGCCTCGCGGCCGGCGTCCAGACCGACCAGCAGGCCCGGGAGTAGACCAGCTTCTAGGCAAGGAAGCAAACCGCCGAGCCGTTACGGCTCTACACAGTCGTTAGACAGCACTGGTAAGAATATTTCATCGTCAGATCGAAAATTAGGAAGAATAAAAATTGATACAAATGAAACATTAATCTTGTGCAACTCGTATAACTGATCTACGAGATATTTTTCTGATTACAGACGATTCGACGAACATCAGCCGTATTCCACGAAGGACGGCGGTGAGCAGCACGACGGGGAACACACCCACATCGAGCAGACACAACAGCGTTTCAGGGAAACGACTTGGTACACCGGTGAACGGTTCGAGTTCACGACCTCGAACGCCCACCGGTTTGGTCAGTCCCGCCAGCGGTGTCCCAGCGAGGTTTGTACCGATCCTTTCCAGTTTTCCATCTGTTTACCCGGGAGAGAAACAGACATGGAACGACTAACATGCATCTTGCCGAGTCTAGATTTTGTCGATCCGTGATAGAGAGTATTAACGACGGTCGTATGTATCGCATTCGGCATCTACGTATTCCCGTGAAATCTTGGAATGATGTCAATCGACGTGTGTTCTGTTTTCTTTTCTCCTTTCTTTCATTTGTTTTTTTATTTTTCATCTCCGTTTGTTTCGTTCGTTACCGGGCGAAGAGATTCCAAGAAGTGAACGCGATTTTAGTACCACGGCTTATTAACTGTCCGGTTAACGTTGTTAGTTAACGACGGATTAACAGAAAATTTTGGTTAACAACATTTTTTTAGGTTTGGCACAATCCATAGAGCTTCGAGCATTCCAACCCTGACTGGTGTCGGCACACCGATCAGGTAAAATAAATTAACCATTATCGAACAGTATCAGGAAAATTGGACATTGGGCGCTTTAGCTTAAAAAGAAAGAGAAATTGTTCAAATGGAACGTCAGCTAGCGATCTCGTCTAAATTCATACATCTGTCATTCAGCCTAATGCTCGTAGCCACGGTGAAGGATTTTTTGTTGATTTATGTTTACTTTATGTTCTTATTTTCTGTTCCGTTGATTGTATCTCGGTTCGCGGTTTTAAACAAAAAATGGAATGAACGCGCGGAAGATAGGCGTGTCCGTGCTTCGATTAAACTGATTAATTGGTGATGGGTTTAGCCGTTCGAGGATACCCGTGTACGTTGGCACGGATATAAAATCCCCGCAATCGACGACCAGCAATATTTCCACTCATTCTACGCAAAGCAACCACTCGACGGTTTCTACCGATTCCACCGGGTATGACCGAACTATTTCCCGCTCTAACTAACACCGACTGCCCTTTCTCTTTTCCTTTTCTTTGCACTGCGTGTCGTATTCCGCATGTACACTTTTGTGCTTCTTAGAGACGCTTTTTTTTTCTTATTTTTAAATTAAATTTGTATATCGTTTGCAATAAGAGTATTATAATAACTTCCTAATGTAAAATGAAGTACTTAACTCTGTTAGCAATTTTGATTTGCAACTTCGCCTCATTAACGTACGTGTTTCTCACTGTGCACCTGCCGTACGTTCCTATTAATAAATAATCCATTGTCGTGTCTGTTTTCCGACGCTGTAGGAGCAGCTCGATGTGTACAAATTCAGCAACTAACACCTCGTCAGCCGTTAAGCAAGCTAGGTAATGATCGTTTCGGTATTGTCCCGTATAAGATTTGGTTTGTCGCTTGTGTCGTTGTGATCCCGTGCCGAAAGAACCCGGACGGATTTGTACATATAATCGTAATAGTAATCGGTATCAGAATACGTACCGATCGAAATGTTTGCTCGCGTGACGCCTGATCGCGTTCGATGGACCCGGAGTGACAAGGTATGACTGATTTTCTTTAGAACAAGAACACCGTCCAGCGGATCGAGCACGCCACTGCCTCCATCCCTGAAGTTATCCAGGAAGCCGTCCGGCGCATCGGACACGTCCGTTTCGACGACGCCGGCCAGCCAACGGAAGGGCAAACCAACGCCGATCGACCAACGCGCCCCGTTCCGATTGTAATCGGGCGTCGAACGAAAATCGTAGTCATTGAAAACGAAAGAAAGGCCAAACGTTACTCGAAGCAAGTCGTGGTCGCCGACCCGACTTGACACGCTTAGGATATTCTAATATATATATATATATATAATATATAATATTGTGTAACAACAACGATTCGAACGCGAGACCGCCCCAAACCGGGGAGGCCACGTCGATGCTGGCTTCCTCGCTGCTTCGAGAATACTTAAAACGCGAAACTTTCCTCTCCCTCTCCGGGCACGTCCGAATCGAGTAAAAGAGCTTAACACTATTGGAGTATTTTGTAAAGAAAAAAAAAAAAAAGGAAGAATTGCATAGGAGAAGTTGGGCCGAGTGCGAAGCGCGGTCCAAAGCGAATTATCGCGGGACCGGACGTCGGTTGTACGTAACGAGAATACTGGCGTACGTAGGAGCCCGACGTCGGCTCCCGCGGCCCCAGTTCGTACCGATTAACTGTTTCGTAATAAGTTTTCTTTACCGAGAAATAGCGATAACTACTATTAATGTAATTGTAATTTTACGTTATCCATAGGACTAGGTTTTTACTGGTCGTAACACACACACGCGCGCGCGAACGTTTCATGTTTCGAGGAGAAGATATTCGGTGTATGCGTGTTTCACGAGAATTAGACGGTACGGTACGGCATTTAGGAAGCCTGATGATCGTCGCCGATTGTTTATTTATTATCGAAATCGTGTAATCTTTTTGTTCATTTTCTTTTTCACGTTTCCCGATGAAGAGATAAAAAAGGGCCCTACGGGGAGAGCAAAAAAAAAAGAAATTAAACGAGCGAATCAAAAACGGGATTTAAGTGTACATATTGCTCGGTCCTGCGCGTCGGTGCCGCCTCGGGAACCCCTCCGCGAATAAGACAGTTTCCTAAATAAATGAGAAAAGACACAGATTACGCTACACGCAACGATTGCCTTAGGTCTAATCGCCGTAAACCGCTTCTGCGCGAATCGTACCTGCCTGCCGAAGCGAGCCGACGCGCGCGGGTCAACCGGTAGGGCCCTTGGTTGAAATTTTTTTCGAGAACGAACATAACGAAATGATCTATTTGTAAGCCCAGCTACGTCCAAGAAACTTGATAAAACGGCGAAATCCTGTTTATAAGTGTCAGGCTTTACGAACGATGCATCTATTTTCCGAAAGACATTTCCGAGCGTTTCTATGTCTCTTATTTTTCTTCTTCTTCTTCTTCTTCTTCTTCTTCTTTTTTTACCGTCTAGGATGCGATAATTAACGCGCGAAGATAGCACGAGTCATACGATGATGCAATTAATCTATTAACTATTCTTAAATGTTAATCTCTGTTTTCGCTTTACTTGAAGGTTCTGTATCGTCGCTAACTAATTGCAGTGGAAAACAAAATATACGCAAACGCACACGCATTTGACACCATACGAATCTGTTTGTAAAAGTGTCTACAATCAATTCCCTTATCACTAAGCGGAAGTACGTGGGAGAAATGAATTAAATCGGAAGAGGACTCTTGTAGAAAATATCATTTATTATAATTAACGATAACAAAACTTAACAACAAGCCTATGTACAATAATAACAAATTCATATGAACGAACGTTCTCTACGCGATAGTGATCGAAACTTTGTTTGATTTCGACGAAATTAGTGCCTTGAAGAGTTGGGACGGACCCAACGGTACGGATCGATCCACGAGCTGCCCGTAGCGATCCAGTCCTTATCTTCGATAGATGCATTTGATAAGAATGAATCGACGGACCGTGAGACGCCGGTGACTACTTGCGCGATAGCTTCAGAAGCCGTGCTTTTAGTCCCGTTGAGCTTAATTTTCGTTTCTCCACTTTGTTTTTACTTTCATATTTCTTTATCATCTTCTCCATTCGTTCTTTCTGTATCCGCTGTTGCTCCTTCTTCCAAATATCCTTTCAGAGTTTATTATGTAAGTATTATTAATTTCAAATAGTTTATTATAATAAATGTAGCTACGTACTTTGAACTCTCGGCAGAAACCGAGCCAAAGGATGAAAAACGCGTTAGGATCGGCCGCGTCCAGGGTGGTTCCTTTGGGCGTGTATTGATAGAATTGCATGACAGCCTTGAATTCTCTTTTGGCCTCGAGCAGGCCCTCGTGCTCGTTCGCCAGTTCCGCTGCCGCTTCCCGGAAGAACGACTCCATTTTCTCCTTAAACGGTCCCGAGTATTCAGGGTCCGATTCCACGACCATATTATATTTATCAGTGCAAACTGCAGTAGAGAAACGAAATTAAATATAATTGAAGGAATGATACATGATTTAAGATCTCACCTTGAAGCTTGCTCTTTAATCTGTCCAATTCTCCCGAGAGGTTCTCGAAATTAATCGTCGAAGCCGCCTCGATGTCTGCTGGTTCCGGGATCGGCAGCGGCAGCGGTTCCTCAAAATCATGATCCTTGTATTCAGCAAGCCTGGCTTTTACGACGTAATGGAGCAGAGTGACGCCAGGCGTGTTCGACTTGACGTCTCTCAATTTGCCTAAAATCTCTAAGCCGAAACCGTCGGCCTGGCCTCGTATTCGATTACCGCCGTTCATGTAGTTACCGAACGTGAGAATCAATGCCATGACCCTCTTCAGTGTACTGGAATTCCGTAAGAAGTTGCACGTGGTTCGTAGATTCGTTAACTTGGATGAAACTAGTGAGATCGTTTCAGCGAACTCCGCTTGAAACGTTAGACAAGCTATCCTCTCGGAAAAATGATTTATGCCGGACAGCTTTTTGAGAAAAGTCTCGGGACGATCGAGGGGCACGTCTGGATTGGTTTCTTCGAACGCTCTTATGTCTTCCAGTTCCTTTTGCGTTGGCCTCTGAGGAATAATTCGAGTTAAAAATTAATTCAATTATTAAAATAGTGTAATAATTCTCAATGAAATTACTCACGATTTCGTATATCTGCTGCAGCGTTTCTAAACTAACGACGCTAGTGTCTAAATTGTAAACGGCGTTCTCGACCTCGCTGAAGTCGAGGTGCAAACTCTTCTCCAGAATTCCTACGCTCTTCGATCGTTTCGAGTCGAGAATCTTCGCCGGCTGCGTTTTAGATGGTTTCGAAGCCTGGTCCGGTTTTTTTACAGGCTTTCTCGCGGTCACTTGATGAGAAAAAAGACCGGCGAACTCTTTCATGTCCAGATCTTTCACTTCTTCTAATTCCGCCCATAGTGGAGCCTGTCAGAATTAGAACACTTCATGTTCCTCATTTCTGAACTCTTCGATAAGATCGTCGGGAATTAATTGATCGATGATTTTTCGTAATTTTATCGAAGTTACCTGCGTAGCAGGATCCATAACGTCGACGGAGCCACGTTCGGTCGGCACCACAGGTACCAAAATCCGGGTCCAGTAGAGCGGCTTCATAGGTACCTCGGGGGCAAGGGGTTCCTTCCTCATACCTGAATTCCAGACCCACTATTCTGATCTCCGTGCAACGATTATGCCCCAAATAAAAAAGATCCTTTTACTCGTTACTCACACGCTCTGCTAGGTGGGTTCCAACCTCCAACCGGAGGTGCTGGTAAAGGCGGTGGCACTTGGCTTCCAGGAGGTGGCGGAGGCGGTGGTGGGCCACCAGGAATGCCTGCCATGGGCGGAGGTGGTGGAGGGCCACCAGGAATGCCTGCCATGGGCGGCGGCGGCGGTGGTACGCCGCCGATTGAAGGCGTCGGAGGTGGAGGAGGTGGCGGAGGCGGTGGTACGATGTTTACTCCGCCGATGGACGCCGGAAGTGGTGGTGGCGGCGGCGGAGGAGGCACGGATTGACTTTCGTTTATTCCAGCTGTCACAGACGAGGTCGAGAACGGCGGTGCAGGAGGTGGAGGCGGCGGAGGTGGATGCGGAGGTATAGAATTGCACACGGGTGCTTGCGGCAGTGGCGGTGGTGGCGGAGGAGGAATAGACGCGACGATTTTAGCGAGCGTTGGAGCAGGCGATGGGGGAGGAGGCGGCGGTGGAGGTTCGGGCGGTGCTCCTTGGATCTCCTCGGTTATCGTTTGCAAAACAGGCGGCGGTAACGGAGGAGGTGGCGGGGGCGGTGGGACTGTTGGCAATGTCGTGATGCTTCGTTGTGTAGTAAAGGACTGTCCCGCGGTGGACGCGGGTAACGGTGGCGGGGGTGGTATAGAAAATGATGGTTGCGAAGTGGAATTGTTCAGCGAACGATAGTCCAGGAAGGGCGAAGGTGGCGGAGGCGGTGGCGGTGGCGGTGGCGGAGGTGGTGGAGTATTTGAAAAGGATGGAGGCAAAGAAACTTGTTGCGGCAGTGTCGTAACCGGCGATGGGGGAGTTGACTGTCTTCGAGTGGTTCGACTTTGCGACAAGCTTTTCTCGTCCTTCGAACTACTCGCAACCGAAGAAGCAGCGACTGCGCCCTCCTCTTGAGAGGTCTTATCATCTGAACTTCTCTCCTTAGGAGCATCATCGGTTCCTTCTGGAAGAGCCGTTGCAGGAGGTGAAGACTGCGTGGATTTGTCTTGAGTAGCTTTATTTTCCTCCCTCGCGAGTTCTTGAAATCGCTCGAATTCTTGTGGTCTTGATTCCTTCTCCGAATCGCGTCTGTCCTTCGTGGAAATCCCCTCGGAAGTTAAGCTGACAGACGCAGACAGAGTGTCTCTGCACTCGGACTTACCTTCCTGAAACAACCAACGAATAAACCGATCCCAAACTTTTTTCAATGGTACTACACAAACAAATTCTTACTGCGATCTGTGATTCCTTCTTCTGAGCCACGCTGTCGATGGTAATCGAGCCGATGATCCCATCCGACACTAGCCGCGAATATATTCTCATCGCAAACTGCTCGACTTCGGCCTCCGTGAGTAGCGACTTCAATTGTTCAGGCAGAGCTGCGATTAACGTTCCAACGATTCGTCGTTCTGAAAAAATAGATCTATGGGAGAATCATTTATAACATAAAAATCGGAGCAGATATCTCAAAAATGAAATTGTTCTCTGGACTTTGAACTTTAATCCGAGCCATGTGACATAAAAATTAAGAAGAATCTGAACCTATATCCGAGCACGATTCAACGACGACTCCATTTTTGGATTTGACGCAATTCCAGCCTTCGCCCGGCATTAGCTGCTCTTATTATTTCTCTTCTCGACTGATCTACCGTGTCCCCGGGTAGCAAACGCATAACCGATTTTCGCGGATTGACGTTCTCGATATACGCGCGCCCGTTCTCCACAATTCGGCGACCGCGACAAACGCGAACGTTGACCGTCCCGTTAACCTTTGACAATCCCGAGATAATTGCCAATCGTACGGCCATCAAAACTGTCGTTATCCGAACCACGCGGGATTCTATTGAAACTTTGAAGCCAGCAGCGATACGTAGGAAACGAACGGGAGAGAGAACGAGTGAACGTAGTCGGACATCGTTTCTAGAAATTTGTTTAGAACGTCGCTTTGTAATAAAATTCACACAGGAGATAACAGAGCGGCGTAATCATCGTTTCACGGTGAAACTGGCGCGACTGCAGAAGCATAACTGCGAGACACGTGGCGAAAAATCACGCCTCCGCGATAACGTTTATCTAACGCTCCTTATCAGTCATCTCTTAATCTCGCCCCGAGAAATTCCGGAACATCTCTGCAAATATAGCCTTGGCAAAGAAGGTCTCATTTCCTGTGGTGCTAATAAGCCATTTCAGACTACGCGCCGGTTTAATAAAAAATTCTCTTTCTCGACAACTTTTCTCAAAGGTGGAGAGTCGAAGATAATCTCTTAACTGTCGCTGTCAGTATTTATGTCAAAACTTTGTTCGTCTTAAAGGAATTTTAATTGGTGTCGCGTTTAATAATAAATACTCACCGAAGAGCGGCGATACAGAAGATTGATCCAGTTCATTGGCCTTGACGGCGAACGGTTCTGGGAATGGCTGCGTCGTTTCCTCTTTCGCAGCATCCGCCGCGTCGGGATCGGTGAACACGCTATCGCTGGATGATTCTTGACTAGGCGGCATCGAGACTTCCGCTACGACCATGCATTTATTGGCTAATCGCCACGAGTCGGTGACCAGGAGAGCCGGCTCCAGTTTCTGTCCCTGATTAGCCCCGGGTACCAACAACGTAGCCTTCGTTTCTGTTGACTTGGTAGCGTCAGCCGATTTGTCATCCTCGTACGGTTTCTTTTCGGGCGGCTCGGTTGGAGTGACCTATATTTAATTTATGGAATCTTGGTTTTGTTTAAAAACAATATAAATTCTATTAAAATCATAGTTCGAGTCTTTGGACCGGTACGTTTTTGCAAAGATTGCTCGAAACTCCAAACCATTTAAATATCGGGGTTAGGAAGCTTATAGTCATCATCGTCTCCCTTGAGTGATAACGAAATTAAGCTGGAGGTTATCGAGTCAATTCTTGTTTGAACCGATTAATCATCACCCAATTATAATTCTAATTTTAAGTTTGAATAAGAACGAACGAGTCACGGCGGAAATGCATTTTGAATTGATGCAACGTGGCGCCATCGGGCTTCGTTAACTACCGCAAACACCCTACAATCGTGACATTCACCCAATTTCACACCCCAGCGAAGAACGTTTCGCCGACCGACTGACCCACAAAAATTCCGAGCAATTTAAATTGCAGAACCGGTAGATATTTATACATAAAAGAAACCTGTGATCGCATATGCAAAACGAGATCTGCTGATCTTGCGATACAAAGAAATTCAGGTCGAGGTGATTAAAAAGGTTGGAGAACTGACCTTTATCACCGCGGGCGCAGGTGGCTTAGGAGCCTGTCTCTTGTGGGCTTGTCGTTTCTCCGTCCCGAACTTCTGAGACTCGTCCAGCTTCTCGGAGATCTTTTTAGCTGGCGTTTCATCTTCGATGATCTCGCAATCGTCACCCGTCTCGGTCGCATCGTCGAGACCATCCGCGATTGATCCGGGAGTGCTCGCGGTTCCATCTCCGGCGACGGCCTTACCCTTCTTGCCCTTCTTCTTCACGTCGCTCTGCAGGTTGCCCATGTCAGGGTCGCCGGGCGCCGCTTCCTGACGGGCTTCGGCCTCGCTGCGGAACGAGGCTGGTGGTGCTGCAGTGGCGAACGCGACGCTGATGTTCCCGGCATAGAACGCTCTGAACGTGTTGATACAAAACCGGGCGACGTCGCGCAGCCTCGGCGGGGTCGCGGCTGCGCTATCGCGCCTCCTTCGCGCCTCCATCCCCGAAACGGTCGATAGTCCTCGGCCACGGGGGTGGCAGTCGCCGGTATCCTCGGACGCGGACCCGCGTGCACGCGGCGACTGCCGAGAGGATCGGCGAGCACGCGGCCAGAGGATCCTCTCGGCCGACGCTCCTCGGGAACGATGCCAAGATGATCAGCGGCTGTGGAGAACATAGTATTCGATATTAACGAAAACTTTCTTTTTCTTCAAAACGAAAGGTTTCTTTTATACATGTTTTTACTGGGAGCGATTTCGACAGACAATCGTCACGTGCTTTCAAGCACGTGTTTATATACGGCCCGAATTTATAATTGTTTCTCAGTACTCAGTACTCAAGTACTTGTTACATTTATATGTATTTTGAAATACATGATTGATGAAAATCATATGATACATTTTTAAACGTTTTATTTCATTGTTGATAAAGATTTTTGAAATTTCATTGACTTACTTCAATAAAATTGCAACAAGCAATTGAGAATCGAGAACTGAGAAACGACTATAAATTCCAGCCTTCCAGCTCTTCTGCGAGGTTCGATCATGACTGTCCGTGATGGAATATATCATCTTTATATTTTAAATCTAACCGTCTTACTCTGAACTGATATTCGCAATCTGCAACATTGATATTGAGTATTAGTTCAATGAAAGGTATAGATTGCAAGCGAAATACGAATCATTCGGTGCTTTGTGCTTTGGGAAATAATTACAGGCGCGCTACTAACAGTGTCATCGGGCAATTAAATATGCATTCGACGAGGGGGTTGAATTGATAATGATTCATTGGTTTTGGGAAATAATTACACCTGATAATGATACGTTGTAGATCAAAATGGTATGTTTTGTAATTACGGGTGATGTTATTTGATAGACGTAAATAGTTAAAGGATATAAATGAGGTATTCCATCCGTGGGAATTATTAAACATATTGCATTTCGACAGAAGAGTTGAATAAATTCTGTTTAGTGTAATTGGGAAATACAGACTAATTAACGAGGAGATAATAATCGAAGCAAACATATTATAATAACTACGTTATTACTAATTACGTATGAAGTGTCTTCTGCCTGAGTCAACGCTGAAGTATAGCACTCGATAGTTCTTCCACGACACAATTCCATCGAGTAAACAGATGAAATCCGCTTCTTCCGACGATGGTTTAGAAATGTTGCGTGCGCGACGGCAGGTTTCGCGGCTCGTTCACGCGGTCTGTGTATGATCGTTCCTACATTTCTACGAATTCGCGTAAAATCTGATGTGTACAAACTGATCTGACACTATTTCTGGCACACTAGCTGTCGCGGACAGCGCAAGATCGACTAACTAGCTTGGAGAGACGCGGTGGGACGCGAGGTTTCTTCCATCAAAGTATAATCGATGTGCTGGCTTGTGTACGTAACTGATATCAATCGGGGTGACTTTCCACAACCTTTGTCCCCGTTTTGTTAGAACACTTTTATATCCATCCCCTCAAGGCGAACATCCATGTACACTAGCTGTGAAAGGGTTAAAGGAGAACGAAGTACACGTAGAGACGTTTTACCGTTTATTTTATATCGCAACATAAAATTTGTACAAATAATAATTCGTAATAATATCGTAACTATAATGGACGATAATTGATATATATGTTTATGTTTGTCGGTCGATATATATCAATTTCAAAAGTTCGCACGCGTCGCCGGGCGAGGCGCGCGCGCGCGCGCAACAAATCACTCCCACGACCGACGTACAGCACGTCAGGGTTGAAAGGCTTCCGTTTTCCGGTGGCAGTAATATTTGGTCGGTCGGTCGGCTTTCGTCGTTTCGGAAAATAACAGAACGGTGATTTTTTTTGTTTGTTTTTTTTTCTATTTCCCATCGCTTCCGGAGACGATGCGGCGGTCCAAATTCGACGACCGAGCTATTAATCTTTCACTGCCTACCGCAGACCTAGAAACGGTCTCCGAAACACACATCTATATTGAAACAATAGTCGTCTGGTCTGTTTTTAAGAGAATCGATATTTCGCTTTTTAAATTACGCGTCTCTAAGTCTGTGCCAGGCGTAAATTCGTTTAAGAACTCGAATATGTATTCTGGGAATGAAAAATGCAACGTGAAAATAGAATACTGCAAAAGCGAATAAAAGGAGACACCGTCCCGCGGTCGAAATCAGAGTTCGCCCGTCCTACCGAAGGATAGAAATTAATTCATCTTAACATCTTCGGCGAAGAAATGAGATCACAAGTCGAAAGGAACGAACGCATACGATCCGGCTGGTCCTTTTTTTCTCCTCCTCTCTCTCTTCTCTCTCTCTCTCTCTTTATGTATACATATATATATATATATATTTATATTTATGTATATCTGCACTCTTTTCTAATAGCGCGTATATTTGACACGAGAGTACTAGAATACGAGAATTGAAACACGATTCATTATTTTTTTTTTTATTCCATCGACGAATGAACGTCGTTTCGCAACGGCGGCGGTACAAAAATAAGAACTTCAACGAAGGTCGCTACGGTGCGCGAGTTTGCTAGACGCGCCGCGTTAATACTACAAAATGAAAGGGACGCACGGTAGATGCGGCGGCCAAGTAATATCTTTTCAACGTTAAAAGCGTAGCTATCGTTAGTTCAGGGGGGGTGAAAACCGCGTTCCTCGAGCCGCGGCCTTCCAAAAGTTCGGCTTCCCCGCGGGAATCGTCCCGACGATTTCCCGCGACGTCCCACGAAAAAGTTCTCACTTCGACGAAAGCAACTTTGAACTCATGCATTATTACCATATATTATCGCAAGTTAAAACCTTCGGATTCTGTTTCCCGCGGACTGAAAACTCCATAAAAGTGAAGTAGTAGTAAAGCAATTTAAAAAGTTTACTCGAGAGTCACCCGCGTTTACTGTCACGGGATGATTCGAAATTATTTTCGACGATGTGATGTTCCAAGATTTTTCATGCTACGTCATCGAAATTCAGCGTGACGATTTCTAGGAGAAACCAGAAATCTTAACGCGTGACACGAACGCCGGGCTTCTAAGTATTCCACTTTCTCCACGGTTAATCATCCTCCTCCCCTCGCTCTGGACAGGAGAAGAACGAAAGGAGGACGAGGCTCGTGGAATTCCTCGGAATCCCCGAGGCCCTGTCCACGGACGTGTTCCACTTCGTTAAGTACTGATACGTTTACCGTTATTTACAACAGACGAACGCTCGGAAGTTTCTGACCAGGCGCCGATCTTCGCGAAACTCTTTATTAGATCGTTGCATAATAAATCTCGTCGTTCCAATTACTTTCACAAACGTAATGCGAACGGTACGGTGTGCAAAACGAGGATGAATTTCTAAAATAATCCGATCATGGAACGATCTAATAACTGTGCTTCGAATACGATTTCTGAAACGCCTGTGTCACTTCTGAACATTAGACTTATTGCTTACGTTACTAAGCGCTTCTCAGCGCAGTCGAAGTTATGGTACATGTACAAGAAATCTCCGACGAGACGGCGGTGCAGTTACCTGGAAATCGCTATGAAATAATATATAATTCTGTAATTCATAATTGAATTCAATTTTTGAATTTCTCAATTAGAATCCTGTCTGGAAAAATAAAAATGATTGATTCTATAAAATAATAGTGATTTCAAGGTAACCCACCGCAGTAATCGGAGGCATTCACGATATAAAAGTACAAAATACACAAAACTCGTCGCAACCCGAACGCGTTCCATGATAGAACCTGGCGTTCGAGCTCCGACGTCTCCCACATAACATTTACATTAACAACAATGTCTCTGCTTCTCGAAGGTATGGCCTCTTATGGCATCGCGTCAGCCTTTGAACGCGAGACTCCGCTCGCTCTGAAAAGACTCGATCGTCCATCTCTCTTCGGTTCACACTTACGCTACTTAAATATAATACACATCGAACGATATACTTCGCTTCCGTTTCATTTCTAACGAACTGCCTTCACAATTGTTCTGATCGTATGATCACTCTGAGCGTTTGAAACTCGTCGCCCCTCTGCGAGGATTCACCGTCTTTCAATGAATCCTCAGCCCCGTGCTCGCAACCCTCCGCTTCGGCTCTCACCTCTTCGGGCGCGTGATTTTTTTTCTTGCCCGCGTCCTCACTGACGTCCTTGTCCTTCTCGCGGATCTCCTTTATCGTGGACACTGCGACGGTGGTCGTCGACGTTGTGGCGGTGGTCACGGTGGCTCTGGTCGTCGGGAGACTCGAGGTTTCCTCGAATCCCGGAAACTGCGGAGTCCCCCGCTCGGCGAACGGGAAGTTGCAACAGGTCTCCGTGTATTTGCCACTGTTTTCGTTGGTAGTCACGTGCGCGAGCCTCGATAAGCGTCCCAATGTTCGAATTCGCGCGTCGCAGCTCTCCTGCAGTCGGAACGACGAGGCGTAACCGGAGACCTCTGACAAGTCGGAAAACTCGATGCCGTCCAGCTCGCGGTTCAAGTTTTGCAACGTGTGACGAGACTCGAGGGAATCGAACGACGCCGACTTGATCGGTCTTGCCAGGGTGCCGGGCAACGGTTCGCAGGGATCGAGCCGGATGTCGTTAGTTAAAAACGCGTTAGAGGCGCCTGGCGCTACGTTTGCGCGTGTCACCTGTCCGGGCACTTCTGGCACCGGGTCCAATTGTCCTACGCACTCGAGCCTGCGCGGCGATAACATTCCGGAAGCACTGTTCACGCCGGACAGTAATCGCGGTGGTCTTAGGCCGGTTCTAGTACCCGGCGCCTCTGGTTCCGTGATACCCAGCAATCCGGACTTGTCGACGCGTCGTACCGACAACGACGGTGCTCCGTCGGGATCGTCGTACGGCCTTCCTCGCGATTGGACTCGTCGCGCGGTGGTGTACGGATTGCAGTAGGGGTGCGAATTCGCGTAGGTCTCACGATAGGCGAACCGAATGGGCAGCGGGTAACTGGGAATCGCGGTGGGATTCTCGGCGATGGTTATCGTCATCACGGTGGTAGTCGTAGGCATCGTGGGGCTCGTCGTCGACGGCAGCGTGCTCGACGCAGTGACGATCGCGTTCCACGGGGACATCGTCAAGGGTAGCAACGGGGGCGGCGTTTTAGGCGGATGTGGCGGCGATTTCATGGGATTCTCGATGACTATCTCCATCCTGTGACGGAGAGGATCTCGCGTATGGTCCACCGGGTGATAGGGAACTGTAGCACCGGTGGTCGCGGCCTCTTGCTATACCCATGAAGTACAGGTGTTTCCGGCTCGCGAGCCGGTAGCTGGATCTCAAACGATTATTTCGCGGATGATCCGCGGTCTCGGGGTGGAATATCCGGACTCGAGGCTCTCGTCGTACGACAGGCTGACCTGCTGAGGTGGCTTCGCGTCCTCGTCGTAGTTCTCCTGATACGGTAGACCAGACACGTCGTACGGCGAATCTGTCGGGCAAACAACCGGCAAGAGGTTGTAGAGAAAACAAAAGAAACGCGTGACGTCGGGGTACGTGCGCGGAGAACGGGAACTGAGACGGGTGGCGGTTTTAGGACGGCGATGGGTTCCAGTGAGATCCGAACGTGTGCGGTTCTGCTATAAAGGACCATTGGGAATACCGGGTCTCAAATGTGCTTCGACTGAACTTCGACTCCGTTCCCGGTGCTTAAGGGTAATTCGAGGATGTCTTCATTGAAAAAATTGTGATCGTTCTGGGCATTAGAATGCGCGGCACGCGTCGCGAGATCCCGGCCCTCGGAGCGCCACGTTTCGCCTTAAACTGCACCGGTTCTTCTACGTGGCTGTATAAACACGCCGTAAGACAATCCGCGCTACGAAAGAGAGATAAAAATCCGCGATCGTCCGCCGGGCTGAATTCTAATATCCGGTAACTCGCGAGAGTCCCGTCTGAGCCGATGGTAAGGGAACTGTTCCTCTGACTCCGTTCGATCGGCTATTAAGCCTGTCAGGGCCGTCGAAAACACCTTGAAACATTTTTCGATTCGAATAACGTTCGCCGATTCCGAACTTTCCGTATAACTAAATTGCTCCGAGAACTTGCGACAGATAGAATTGAATGCTCATCGCTGGACGCGTGGTGGGTCGATCGTCCGGGGGCCATCGGGTGGAAAAAGCCAGGGGAAACGGTTGAAAGCCGGGGTAAAAAGGGTAAAAAGGAGGGGAAAGATGTAGAACGACGGCGGGAACGATCGGCGTCGGAAACGGGAGTTCCGACTAAAGAATACTACTCACCGACGTGTTTTTGAGACTTTACGACGGTGGCGAATGGTTCCGAGCAAAACTGCTGTCGACTTAGATTATGACTCTCCCGGTAATCCTCCCGCTGCGGAAGGTAATGAGGGTGGGTCGGGTAATCCGACTCGGTAGTTGCGTAGCCGGCCAAGTCGTAAGCCTGGCCGACGCCGTTCGCCGCGGCCGACTTCATCTGCCAGATCGAGTCCTGCGAATTCACCGAGCCACCGTTGTTCGAGTTCGAGTAGCTGTTGTCCATGTAACCCATGTTAACGCCTGTTGAAACAAAAACACCTCGGCCATCATTCATCGCCCGGTCCTCGTAACTATTTCCACGGGATAATAGCCTTGAGACGTTACAGCGGAGTTACGACCCGATATGAGCAGTTATATTAATTCCCCGTCGAACGACGTAAGAGAGCCTCGTGTGTTCGTTGTAGAAGAAGTAATTGGTCGATAAATATTAGTCCTATTATTGTTCGATCATTATTTGATGGGAACGAACGAGGGACCAATGTTTTCTTACCAAGCGTAGTAATTATTCCCGGTCACGTGAATCGTACTCAATAAATGGGTAGTGAGAGTAACACGAGAAAGAACCGCCAAATTGCGGTAGGAATCGTTAGAGTTACGGAAAAAGTACGGGCACGGGAAGCAAGAGCAGCTCGTTAAACCGTTCTACTTTATACCATATTTTTTTCTAACAGGGTGCGATATACGTACAACCGTTTCCCGGTTAGCTCCTTAAATTGATAGTATCAAATTAAATCCGATTAAATTATTATAGACACACATCGCGTTTTTCCCGTGATTCACTTGAGATCCTCGATACGAGATTTAATGACTGTCCGTAGGACGTAACATTACTTCTTGTCATATTAACGTCGTGATAAAGATGTTTACCATTGATATTGTGGTTCGGTTGGTGGTATCCATAACCGGGTTGAGAGTAAGCGGGCGTTTTCGAGTCTTCCATGGCGAGCGCGTGATCCAAGCTGTGTTCCAAGGCTTTGTTCTCCGCGTAGTAGGGCGGCGGCGCCTGGCTCTGTTGCCCATTCCCGGCGACGAGGCTCGGTCGAACCCTGCACGATATCAAACATCGAAATCCCTTCACGAAGTACGCGGATCTTCTTCGTTATTATCATCCGACCATCGAGGAAACACTCACGCGTTCGAGTCCATCTCGTAGTCCTTGGCTTTGGTCGCGTGCTTCCGACGACACCGACAAAAGAGCAACAGTAGAGCGGCGAACAGTAAAAAGACGGCTCCGCTGACCACCAGGGCAATTAACGTCGGCGTGGCGAGTGCCCCGGACTGCGCGATGCGCGATGGACCGACTGCGAAAATTAATAAAAAACTGTTTGGCGAACATGCAAACACTCACTGCCGTTTATTCATCGAACAGGACTACGATTACACGCGTTTGGAATAGAAAATTGGAAAATGCCATCGTAATTCGGTCAAGACGGAGTAGAAAAGGCAAAGAGTAATGGAACGGCCTGAACAAGCAAAATTGGCAAGCAGATCAGATTCTACTTACTTTCAGCTTCTGCGTAGTCGCCGCATTTTTGTCGATCAGCTTTCAGGCATAGCCTGACTCTGACTCTGGGTTCTGCGTCCACTGTTTCCGGATCGTCGAGGACACCTTCCCTCTGAGTAGGTGCACTCCCGAGCACTTCGAGAGGCCACTCGTCGAGGATCCTCCACTGCGAATCGTCCGTGGACGAGGGCGGCCCATCGAACTTCTCGATCGAGGCAACCAAGGATAAGCAAGTAGCGCCGACGCTAATGGCGAGCATTCCGCTCTCGGGATCGTAACTGATTCTCAAGGGTGCCGGGATTTTGGCCACCGCGGTTGTCGCCGTCACCTCGTCCGAATAATCCGAATGATTCTTCGTATTGTACACTTTCACCTTGAACACGTAAGTCTGGTGCTGCTCGAGATTGGTCACGTTGCACGGATTCGAGTGACGACAGTCTAACTCGAGCCATTGGCCCGCGGGTGGCCGAGGGACCGCGCAATCCGGCGAGACTATCTCGTCGCCGCCCGGCACTCTTCTGTACGAGACGAAGTACTTAGTGATAGGCAGTCCTCCGTCGAAGCCGAACTCCCAGAGCAACGCCACGTGAGTGGGACCCACGTCTATCGCGGTGACATTCATAGGTTTGTCCGGCGCGCCCTTCGACTGAAGCCTGATCGTCGAAGTAATGCTCCCTTGCATGTTCGTCGCCCTGCAACTGTAATCTCCGTAATCCAGCTCGCGGATATTCGTGATCTTAAGCACCGAAGTGTGAACGTCGTAATTGTCGCTGCTGGTGGATATTTCGTAGTGTCCGTCGCTGGATGAGCCTTGCAACCTAGCCGCGTTGTTTCCAAAACTCCATTGGAATTCCGGCTTCGGCCAAGCTTGAACTTTGCACGCGACCTCCGCCGTCTCCCTCAGATTGTACGCGACTTTCCCGTGCTGATGGAGCGCGATCGGCTCGTGTTCCACCTGCAGCATCATCGTCGACTCGTCCTTCTTGACCTCGTTCACGGACACGCAGGTGTATTTGCCGCGATCGCTGGCGACGATCTTGTCGGTCTGCGGCCGCGCGTGCCCCAGGAACCTCAGCGTCGAGTTCACCGTGATCACGTTCCCGTGACCCTCCGTCGCGGTGGTAGTCACCTTGTACAGCCTCTCGTCGGCGGTCAACTCTTGATCGTCCTTCAGCCATCGAATGCTCGGCGGAGGCTTGCCCTGCGCCACGCAGGATACTTGAAACGAGGACTCGCCGGCCCTGCGAACACAGATATTTCCCCGTTGCTTCCACGTTTCTTAATTCACGGTTGCCGCGGTTGTGTCATTTGCATACCCCCTCGAATTTCCATTTTTACTTTTGTACCGGTGCGTCCGATCAATTAGGCTCAAGTGCGTTCGCGAAAACGTCGTCGTCACGCAGTTATTATTTATGAGTATGAATAAATGAATCTCTTATCGCATTTTGCATGATTTTCAAACCAATTTCGAAAATTGGATTTTATAGCGAACAAAGATTTACATATTTCTCCTTACAAAACGTATAAATATGCATGTTGACGCAATACCGCACGCGTGGGAAGGTAAAAATTAATTATTTGACAATAAAAAGCGAAGCAGAAAAAAACATGGAAATAATAAAACGCTGGACTTAATGAAACGCAGTACAACCGGTAAAGAGTAAGCAGGATGCAAATACGGTACGCAGTCAGTGTTGGCAGAATGAATTCAATGAAAATTTTCGGAAACTGGTTTCCCCGTCGCCAACGCTGGAGCTGGAAATACTTTTCGCGTTTCCCTGCAATTTGTACCGCGTAAAGGTATTCCCATTGTTATATTAAACGCACTGTGCATGTGTACGCGTCCGTAGCACATTTAATTGTCCCCTTTGTCGTTAAAAATACAGAGAAACGTTTCGGGGTAAGGGTTGAATGCACTGGCTGCGCGCGACCACCGAGCCGGCGTAATTCTTCCGTATTTTTAGCAGCGGAGAAGAAGGTAATTAAGTATTCCGTTTCTGGTCGACCACTGCCTATTATTCGTCATATCCCGTGTAATTGCAATCACGTCACGAGGGCCTAGCTGCGCTTGCGAAGATGAATTTTTCGCTACGGTTAAAAGGGAATTGGCGATTTCTCATTTCCCTGGCAATTTTTTACTCTACCCTCCCCCGTCGCGCCTTCAGCCAGGTAATGGTTTCCCGGTTATTTGTGAATTAATACAACCACCGGTATCTAAGGTGTTCCGAAACTTTTCGCCAACTTTCAAACGGTAAGCTCTTAATCCCAGCTTAAAGAGCGCCGACCCAATTTCCGGGCCAGCCAATGGCATTCGAACTTTTATCCTTCCCCTCGATAACCTCCGCGAGTAACGCGTTAGAACAGATAGTAAGAGAAGGATCTTAAGAAAATCGGATACTCACTTTCTGACAACGTGCGGCTGTAGTTTCGTGAGTATCTTCGGTGGCTGGTGAACCGTCAGGTTGACGGAGGCGGCCTCCCCGTTACCGATTTCGTTAGTCGCATGGCACTTGTAAGTTCCCTCGCTTCCAAGGTGAACCGAGTCGATCTCGTACCTGGGACCAGTGTTCTCCGACGACATGGAAATGATCCCGGACTCGCCCTCCTTCCACCATTTATACCTAGGCTCTGGATATCCTGGCGGACTCGCCGTGCAAGTGAGGATCACTTTGGTTCCTTCGACGGCGACCGGTGAATCCGGAGTGACTCTCGCTGGGCCTGGCTTGTACCTGACGCGAACGGTCAAACGAGCAGACGCGGAGTAGTTTCTGCTCTTACCGCCCGACGGATGTATCGTATTCATTGCGCCACAGGTATAATTTCCGGCGTGATCGGCGGTGACGCGGATCAGCCGAAGGATCGAGCCGATCTGTCGAAAATCCGGTCGGCCTTCACGCGACCATTCGATCACCGACGGCGGCGGATTCGCAGTCACGTTGCAGTGCACGGTGATCGTGTCTTCGACCTCCGCGATCCTCACAGGATCGCCTTCTATGGACACGGTCGGTGGGTAAAGAACGTCTAGCAGTAGGGAACTCTCGCCCTTCCTGTCCAATTTGTTGTCCGCCTGGCAGGTATACTTGCCAGCATCCTGCACGGTAACTCTTCGTATGGTATGCTGAAAAGTGGTAGCCACGAAGCTGCCGTCTCGCAACCATCGCACGTTCGTCACGACGGGTTTCGAGTCGACGTCGCACTTGAGATCCGCGGTTCCGTTCACCTCCACCTTCAAAGGATTCTCCGGTCCAACTTTGACCCGCGGGAAGTAATTCACGTCGAGGGTCACGTTCGCGCTTAACGTTTCTCCCTTGCTCATGGCTCTGTTCCACACTTCGCAACGGAACGTCGCCTGGTCGTCCTCTTTTTTCGGTTCTACCATTAAAATTCTGCCGGAATGGAGGCTCACGATTTCGTTGCCGCGGTACCATGTGACATTCGGTTCGGGGCTGCCGCCCTCCGTGTTGCACCGTAACTCGAGCTTCTGTCCCTCGGTGGCGGTCGCGAAGCTCGGCGAGATTGTCGGTTGTCCCGGCGCCCTCAACACGGTAAGCGTGATGTACTTCCGGTGGAAATCGTGCCCGGTACCGCCCGCTTTCACCTTGCACTCGTACTTGCCGTTGTCACGCTCGTACGAAACGTTGCGTATCTGAAGGTCGTATCGGCCTTCCTCGAGGTTCATGAACACTTTGTACTGCGGCGATAACGAGAGGTTGTCGATGGCCGCGTTGTCGTGGTTGTCGTTGGTGTGCGTCAACCAGAAACAGGTCACGTTTTCACGGGGCGCTGGGAAACGGCACTGCAGCTGCACGGTGGACCCCTCGTGCGTGTCCATCTGTGTGTCCTCCATGCGTCCCTGTGCCGCCGCTGAAACACAGTGCGAGAGACTCGTTAGAAACGATGTATCTCTCATCGGCGGACGCGCTCATTTTCTTTTCATCGCGTCATCTGCATTTTCTCGCGCTCCTCGTTTCCCATCGCACGGCAGCAGCCGCGTCGGCTCGCCGGATATACAGAGGGAACCAGTGCGGGTGGGGTGGTTTAAATCTACTACATACACGGTCCGAACCGTGTTTAATACTTGATTTCAATCTAGCTCGCGTTTGACATGTCATACTCCTGAAAGCCGCTTATGACACAGTTAATCGGTCTCTTAAATCGATGTAAAATATTCACTGTTTAAAAGCGACTAATTTAGAAAGTAATATCGATTACTTAAGCGACACGAGTATCTTTGATATGCTCGTCGTTAATGGCCCGATAGTCGACGTCGAAAGGGAAAAAATCGTGACGCGAGTGCAGCAAACATGTGCCAATTTAAAGAGTAAAGCTACGATTAATTAGTCTGTAAGGGCCCGTCGTTCAAATTCGAATTCGCGATTGGCTTCTCAATTATTTCATCGGACGCTTTCATATATATTGCATATGTGCAAAATGATGGACGTTGAGACGCGACTCGACGGCGAGGCGATGCCGACGGTGTCTCGTCATTGGGTCGTATAACGGTAAAGTCACCGGTTTGACTTCTCGCCGATATCGCAACCTCTCTCTCTCTCTCTCTCTCTCCTCGTACACGGCATTAAGCCCCTCTCCTTATCGTTTCCTCTAAGGTACTCTCTATCGTTCCCCTCTCTATCGTTCCCCTCTGACCGTTCCTCCTCTACGACGTTCGTCTCCGTTCAACCTTACTCCCTCACCTTTCAAACTCCCTCCTTCCCACGCACCCTATCTTTTCTCAGCCTATGCACCGCGAGTCTATATTTACGTCTGCCTGTCTCTCTATAAATCCATCCGCGCTGCCCCGTTCCTCGCTCCCTTCGCCTCGATACACCCCCGTCTTAGCTATTCATCGACCCATCGTAGTTTACGTTTCAACCCTCGCCTCTGCTTGTTTACTTTTCGATAGCAGAATCTTCTCATTGCGTGCCGCCGCGTTTCTATTTCTTTCGTTGTCGGGACAAGCTGCTACCGGCCGCAATAGAAGCTACTCCCGCGTATTTCAGCTATCTTTACGAGCACGCGTGTCGAGCAACGTGTGGTCCAATCCGAGGCCCAGCCCCTTTCAGTTTCGGAGCACAAACGCGCGTTCAGACCACCGATGGCCTCCGTGTTCCAGCTGCTCCGAAACGTACGGCACGCGAGAGAGAAAAAAAAAAAGTAGGAAGCAGTAACGCCGTAATGACTGGCTAGTTCCGAGACTTTCACCAGCGCTTATCAAGGATTAATGAAATATGAATCAGCCACGTGTGGAAAGAGATTGTAGCACCTATGAATATTTCATAATGACCGCCGTCAAAAGTAGCGGGTTAACAAATGAAACTTGTACCGATCGGCGTCGAGTTGATTCATCAGCTGCCGGAATGCGTCGTAGAAGAAATTGTTTGCAGAGTTTCAGTCGAATGATAAATTCTTCATGGATAAAATTCATTCTTTGTCCGATAAGCGGCATCGGGAACGAGCGTTCGATCACGTCTCGGCTTCCGATCGGGGAATAATCGTGGAGGAATGCTCGTTGACATTTGAATTTGACGAAAGGTGGGGGCGACGTAACGAGCGGTGCACTCGTTTCTAGACTCTAGCCGGAGTGGACGCGCCGCCTCCGGTTCAGGAAAATCGATCGATTCGAAACGAAACGAGCATCGGTTCTCGGTGTCTAACGTATTACGTTCGTCGAAGAAGCAGCAGCTGCAAAGCGGGCCGCGGCGTTAACGGGCCGCTCGTATACACGGAGACACCTGTGGCAGCCGGCTACGTCACGAAGCCTAATACCGTCGCGGTCGTCGTTGCGTCGTTTGCTATTTCCCGAACGGCAAAGCTACCTCGACTAAGCGAGCTGCGTTTTGCATAGAGAGTACCGCGGTTTTAATAGCTCTAAGCTGTTTACAATCAGCCAGGTGTGCCACGCGGTGCATACGAACGCCGTTGTACAGAATGAAGATCGCGGAATGTTTTTTAGTGACACAAGATTATTCAGAAACAAGCGCGCGCGGTCGGTCCGGCGAAAGGAGGGCCGCAGAACGGGTTTGTTAAAAGGCCGCGGAGGCAAAACTCGCTACGGCTGCGACATACCGACGCGGCACGTCGCGAGAGTCGCGACGCCATACAAGTTTCGAAGTTTGCATGCTCATTTTCTCGCGATCCTCTCTCCGGGACGCGAAGCTGTTGCGGGAACACGATGAATACCTGCGTACCCAGTGAACTCCCATGGTTCGTGGAAAAAAAAAACTGCAATATTTCTGGCGGAATGAAAAGAGCGAGTTTTCCCTGGGATATAGGAAAGTGGTGCTCGACGTTTCGGGATTGGAAACGATTGCGGGAGACGATTGTTTTCCATCTCTGGGGAATATACTCACCGGGATGCAGTAGCAGGAGCGTAACGGCGATAATCGCCGCGGCTCGCCGGCTGGTATCCATTCTATCGGCAAAACGAATTCCACGAGCGGTTCGAGTGGAACCGAATAACGAGAGACGCAAATTGCGCCGCTCCATTCGAGCTGGAGGACAGAGTTCCGCGTTGCGGCGACTTTCACCGAGCAACGACGACGACGACGCCGCGCGACGAACAACGACTTTGCCAGCCACACGCGGCATCGATGATCGCATCGATCTCCTCGATCACGCTAGCTGACGCACTATGCGACACATTGCAACACGCGACACCGTTGGTAACGCCACTGCTGTCACACCTACCCGACACACTGAGTCTATCTGAACTCGATGAAACGAAAATAGAAAGCTTCATCGGTCGCGATTCCTCTCGGTCGACCTCGTCTTCCTCGTCGAAAAGGTCTCGATTAAAATACGCGACTACCTGGTGGAAGGCCCACGCGATACGTTTCACGATCCACTGGCTCAAAGGAGCGTCCCATCGCCTCGGGACTCGGCAGAAAGCTGTCCTCGGAGTTTCTCACCGGCTACGGCTGTATTTCTCAAGCGTATACGCTCGCACGCCGATTCCCATCGCGGGGCATCCGCTCGCAGGAAAACCGAAAACGGAGGTTTGCGCGCGATTTCAAAACGCCACGTTGCAGCCGAAGGCACTCCTTTGTTCCGTTGGCACGTAGCTCGAACCACTTTCGAGTAACCAGGTGTGCTTATCCTCCTCGATTCCTTCTCATCCTTTTCCTCTCTCTCCCTCGTACTTCACTTTCCCTCCAGGGTTCTCGATCACCGTTGCGGGCGCAAAAATAGCGGAGGGACGCGCGAGAAAACGGGGTGAAACGGGACGAAAATAAAACAGGGAAAATGTAATTGACGCGTTTATGGCAACTCGAGATTCGACCAGTGAACGCGTCCTTAGATTTTTTAAAATCTTTGCTACGGTGTATAGGAACACTTGGTATCCGTGTGCAGCGTTGAAAAAAATCGCAGCCAATCGGGCGAACGTTAACGCAAACACACTCGACGAGGGTCGCGCGACGACTGAGCTTGGGGTCGCCGTAGCATCGGTGCTACCCCCCACCGTCGGCTTCCCCCCTGTTCCAACGCGTCTCCCACCAGGGCATGGTTTGGTGCGCGTAGCGCAGCGTACGTCGTGCAACCGGTCGGCGATGCACACTCCACGAAGGCACTATACACTGACGAGGGTTACGATGGTAGTGGTTGCGAAGGTGGCAGCGGTTGGAAGACCGACCGACGTGTAAACTCGACGAGGACGGAGGAAGAAACTGGCGCGAAAGACGGAGACGAGGACGGACGAAGAAAGGATAAAGGGAAACGGAGGTAGATCGGGCGCGATGAAGACGAGGCTGAAAAGAGGGTGAAGCCGTTGCGTTAGCGGTGGTTGGAAAAGGTATAACGCGAGAACAGCTTGCCCCCACCGACGTATGCGGCAGGTGGTTCTTACCGCCGCGGGCTACGGCCCATGGGACCGGGCGAACCTCTTCGCGCGCCCGTCTGTCGTTCAGCTTTTTCCGAACCGAACCTGCTACCGTGCCGATTTTTTAACTATCCACGGATGAATCGGCGAACGCGGATGAACGTCCCGTTGATGGCTCAGTTTCGCGGTCGTAAAGAAATTTCAGAGCTGATTAGAACGAATCGAGATAAGAAGTCAGTATCTGATGGGACACGACAGGTGCCACGATAACCACCGAAAACGGAGGGAAGACGGTAGAGTTGAAAAAACAGGATGAATTTAGAAAGGGGTTGGTTAGAATTAATCAAGATCAAACTGGCCATTTGAAAGTCGAGCGAAATGCGCTTATAATAGCCAAGAGGAGGATAAGATATGCGCTCTCTGCATCGATGATGGTTCGGTTTCGCGGTTGCACTCAGCAGGATCATCTGATTAGAATTGCCGAGAGACATTACAGAGCAGCAGGTGTCCACGACCACTGAGAATCAAAGGCGATGACGTGGATGAATCTCCTGATTCGCGATTCTACGCTTATCGTCGGAATCGAGTTTAGAAGAGGAGGTTCGATTCGGGATTAATCAGGGAAAAGGTGGTTCTTTCGTTTGGCCGAAGGACGCCACGGTGCAGCAGGTGTCCGTTTCACGACGATCGCGCCTCTCTTCTCGGTCCACCCCGCCTCTGCGTACCTGCCACGGAACTTTTCGGCCATCTGCTCGTCTCACCGCCGGGAACTCTATTTTTCTAGGAATAAGTACGTGTTCCCGGCGGGATGGGACGCGCCCGTGGAAAGGTGCGCGGGGCATATGGCTCGCGTAAAAATCGACGTTTCCCACCCCCGCTCGTATTTACGGGGAACGAGCCAACCGTGAGAGAAGATCCGAAGGGTGGGAAGGTGTACGAAATGAAATCGAACCCGGGTCTCGAGGACGGAGCTGCTCCCTGAGAGCGAACCCGGAGCTCGACTCGGTTGTTGGAAGGCGGATTCAGCCATGGGGAAACGGTTCGGTTGTCTCGACGGGCGTTTTGAAAAATCTGCCGCTCGATCGACATGTAACAGGGCGAAGTTTGCGCTCGGAACGCGTCGAAAATGCGCTTAATTAAACGGTAACGATTCACGTTCGCGGACCCCTGTTAACGAACCTACCATCCCGCTGGTTCATAGGGTAGGAACGGTCAGCGGGATAAGCCCGACGGAATCGTCGAAATAATTGCGGCCGTGATAATTGCGCCTCGATTCGAACGGCGCACCCCCGCGCGGTCCTCCGGCAGACTTTCGACCCGTCGATTAAAAGCGCGCGATTAAACGCGACGTCATCCCCCGTGTCGCGTCGTAAACGTCTCGAGTGTCTCTCCCGTTCCACCTTCCGCGTTTCTTTCCTTTTTTTTTTATTTTTTTTCATCGCTGCCTGCCCGATCGTAGCCAAGTCGATCGTTCGATTGAAACGCTTTGGCTCTAGACGACGTTACGGCGCAGTTCTAGTTTTATCGACTCCGAGTCTTTCGGAAGTTGATTTCACGTTTAATTGGAATACGTTGGAACAGGACGAGTCCAGTTGACATCGCGCGGCACGAGAAAACGTTTTGTAAAAAATGTATAGCGTACGATTGCGAGATGCATTCGGACACGTCCGCAGGACTTATTCGTAGCGTGTGCTGTGTTTAACGGAGGAGAGATCGAAGGAAAAAGCAACGACGCCGAGGAGAGGGCCTCGCGCAGCCTCCCGTGGCCGCGGCCAGTCACGCGAACCATTAAAGATTCAAAGGCCCGAGGGCGAGCAGATGGTCCCCGAACCGAGGAACGAGAATCGAGAAGAGATCCCGGAGAAGAAGCAACAGCCTGGCCTCGGACTCCGAATAAGCGTACAGCCGGGAATTACATCGGGAACCGGCAACACCGCCGCGGTTACATCCTCCCGGTCGTGCCGGTGACCGAGAGGAACCGACCCCTCTTCCCTCTTCCCGTGCCCTTCGCCGCACGCTCCTCTCCAATCTCGCCAGCTTCTTCTATACATACGTTACGTTCGAACACGAGAACCACTCTCCCACCCCCTACTTCTTCGTTCACCTCTCCTTTTACCTGCCTCTTCTCCTCCTCTTCGTCGACCTTTCATTTTCCACGGCGACGTTCTCTCTCCCACTTTTATCTCTTTACCTGGCATTCTCCTCGGGTCCGACAACGTCGCCTCCGCGGTCTCGCAACACCGTTGGGCCCGCCAGCGAGCCGGCAACGTTGCACCGTCAGGCCCCGGCACGTACAACACCTCGGGCCCACGGCGCGAGCAATGGCTCCGCTCGACTTTCTTACCGTTACCATTTCCACACGTGCGTTATCGGCGCCAGGCTTTGTTCCACGATCGCGACATCGTCCGAATCCATCGGGCGCGTCACGGCTCATTCCGTTCGCAGTTCGCGTTTAAGTTCGATGACACCGAGATTCATCGTTCGGTTCCAGAGGTCTCCTTCGATAAGGAGCGTACGCACATATCTCTTGCGACACCCGTTGATCGATGACGTTCGCGGGTAATTGTAGGAACCGGCCGTTTCCGCTTATCCGACCCATAAATCGTGGCCTCGAGGACCAGAGCTCTTCGGATGCAACGTGACTACTCGTTCCCGGAATCCCACAGATGAAACAGGCCCTCAAACTCGAGTGGTTCCCCGAACACGAGTAATAAATTCGTGGTACTCTCTAAGTCGGTCCTCTATTGGACAGGCCGTTCTAAACGTACTTCTTCTATTGAACCTCTTTCAAGGTCTAATTGACGCCTAGCTCACGCTATTGTACCGCGATTAGAAGCGAAGTAGAAAAACCTGTCGCGAATCGCGACGAGCGTGCGTCTCCATTAGCAGGGATACGATATTTGCTAAGCCGGACCACTCCTTTGTTTCACCTCTACAATAGGATAGAACATCGTCCACACACATTAAACCGGTCAGCCTCTCTTACCTGGACCCACGTCCTGAAAGAGCGCCATAGAAACGGCTCGAGAACTCGCAACGAAAAAGTCCTTAAATCAAACCAACTGAATTGTAAATTCATAATTCAGATATACTTCGTGTTTAAATCCCTATCATCAAATACTTGATAACCTTTCAATATTTGATACTGAATATGAATCTGTCACTAATTCTCTAACAAATTCTGTCGTGTGCACATTGAATTACGAATATGTATTAAGACGGCTTGTAGTTCTATTTTACCGTTGAAGCAGAGATTCGTCTTAAGACGGTTTATTCATAGTATGACATGGTCGGGCATTAAAGCCAGCCAGGCAAGACCGTCTTATGTCTTGTCGGACTTGCACGCGTCGTGGCTGCTAAAGGTATCTCGAAGCAAAGGCAGGAGAGGGTAGAACACATCCACCCACGCCACGTCGCTTTCGCTGGACGCTACCGTCCCCGCCTTTCGTCGACCTTGGAATTCCTGATTCTCAGGCATAGCGCGTCCACAGCTCGCTGCTCGAACAAATGCGAGGTTTCGTCGGCCAGAGTTTAGCTCGACGCGATGGACACGCGAGGACGTGAAAGACGCGTGTACCGCTAGGCCGATACCGATATTGGGTGGACTCGTTTCACGGTCGTGAACAAGCTGGTATCCCGGTTCAAGCGACCACGCAACGCCTTATTGGCTGACTAAACTCCTCTCGGTATCCCATTTTTGGAGAACAAAAGTTTTAAGATCGCAGGGTAATTACTTTCGAAGGACTTAATTGATCACGGCGTCTTAAGAGTTTCAATGGGCTCGTTATTCCCGAGTCGTTAAGTATTCGTATCTATATTTCTCTTGACACTTGGGTTAATCGTTCTCGGAACGCGTACCTGCTGGGTAATCGTTCGCACATGGTCCCGAACGTTTAAGCGGGCAGCACGAGAGGACACGGCCTCGCGGTCGAGAGAAGAGGCTGAGCGAAACCGTATGGCCCCTCGGAGGAGCCGCGTAACAAGAGGCTCTTTCATTTGGCGGTCGCAGGAACGGCCGGACTGGTGACAAAAACTCTCTCCTCGTTGCCTCGAGAGAGGCTGAGAGAGCGCTTATTGCGCGTGCACCCTACCCACCGTAGTTTTCGAGGGCATTCTTCGAGTCTGTCCTGGCGAACACTGCGCCACGCGCGAGAGAGAGAGAGAGAGAGAGAGAGAGAAAGAAAGAAACACGGGTTGAGTAAAAGAAATGGAGCGAACGCGTCAGAAATGAGATGCGACGGCAACGTGCCGTTGCGGGCACACGCGTTTTAAGGCGACCGTGTCGCGGCTTTGCTATGTGTCGTACCCAGGGCGAGACCGTCGTTTACGAAATGAGAAAGAAATGTAAACGAAGAGAACGCCGGGAGCAGCGAAGAGCGAGGAGGATGCCCCGATAAGAAAAGAACACGTGCCACCTCGTTAAAACATGAGACGACCGGATATCGCGGGCCAGGGCTTCTGTTATGTACTACCGTGGAATAACAGTGGCCATACGAGTATCGCGCGGACCAGCGCGCCCATATTTGTGGACGAGCCGGCAAACGCCGGTAGGAGGCCGCGGGTCGGGGGCTGCTGGCAGGGAAGAAGCAGGAGAACTGGACTGGCCAGCCGTACGAACAGACGGAAGGAACGAAGGAGAAGAGGCGGAGGTGGAGAGGTCTTGGGTTCAACGTTTCCTAAGAGACGATAGGGGCTAAATTTAACCATGTCCGCGTCACGGTATGCCAGATACCGGAGCACCGTCAAAATTTCCTTTGATTGGCGTCCCGCGATCGATGCCTCGGCGTAGACTTCAATAGCCGCGGTTCGACGTAAACCAGACCCGGTAGTACGGTAAGCCCGAGACCGGTCCCCGAGACCATGACGGATGAAACAAGGTCGCGTTTCCGTGAAAAGACATCACGCGCACGACCTACTCTACTATCGCAAATACAATAACGAACAGAATGGAGGATACAAACACGAGGCTTTTGTAGTTAATGAAATTTTTGTTGAAAAACGCATGGTTAAATTGGAGCAATAAAATTAAATCGTTTCGTAATTCTGTTACTTTTT